ACAAACCTAGGCGCCGATCATGCTGGCACCAGCTGCAGCGAAAGCATCATGAAGCTCCTCAATGCCGTCGCAGAAGTTGTCTGCGTAGCTCTGGGAATCGCCACAGCCGAAGATGGCAACCTTTTTACCGCTGAGGTCGGACTCCTTGATGGTGTCCAAGTAATCATCCCACGTTGTGCCAGATCGGTACCTAGACCGTCTTAAAATGCAAAGTTCATGCTGCGTAAACGTGAACGCAAGGCACTTTTCACATTCGGGTATGCGCGTACCTCCAAATTTGTTTATCCTGCTTCTACTGAACCCTATCGAATAAACTCCACAAACAATAGCCTTCAGAACCCCCATGCGGCAAGAAATCCCTGACCAAACGACATGTGAGAAACCACAAGGGTTGCAATGGACCAACAAAAAGGGTCTTGGGTACCATGTGCCAGTGAGAATGTGCTGAGACTCTCTTACCTTCTGTAGGTGGACTTGGGTGAAAGGAAGCCAAGATACTCGTCTGCTCCAGTGTTCCACGTGGGGCAGCCAGCGATGACTCCGTCCAGGTCAGCAAAATCTTCGCCATCGTAATCGGAAGCCTCCGACCCTGTCGCCTCGGCAATCTTGCTGGCTACGTCCTCCGTGTTGCCCGTCTGAGTGGCATAGAAGACTCCAATGGCAAAACGCGCGCAGCCCTTTCGCTGGGCACGTGCACGTGTTGCCTGTAGCCCAGCAAAGGAGACCTGCCGAACGGTGCAGAGCCAGGCACTGACAAGGAGCACGAGGCCAAGACGACGGCACGCCATGTTGGATGAGAAGTGCGAAGGTTCAGGGTCTTGATGCATAAACGCTCGCGAAAATTGCTAGGCCTGGATGTGGAGATAGTTTCTACAGTACCTCAACGGGAAGAATCAAACCGCTCACCGACGGCCTGACAAGTTCCGAGCGAAACTACGAACTCAAAAGGCCGTGTCATGGACCTGCCTTCTTGCATCAGCTCTTTCACAGCTCCAAGCTTCGGGATGGATGATGCAACTCTTTGCTGAAGTCCTACATTGCTCCTACACTGCAGGAACACCATCATTCAGCAATCAATCTCACACTCAGGGAGGCACTCTTGGATGTTGTGCTCGTGTGCGCGAGCCTGCAAATTCGGGGGATTCACTCATCATGTCCTGTCATGTCATGTCAAGATCCCATAGTTAATATCATTGCATACAATTACCCCACACACTGTTCAGGGATTTATGTGCCACAGGACGTTGGCGCTGGCTGAAGCAAACCAAACGTTCTGAACTTATCCCTGTAAACTCGCCCCGCCACCATTCTGCGCTCACACACTACTCTGTCACCAAATCCATATGTCGGGAAGTGTTTTCGAAAGGTTGTTATCTCTCAACCACCCAAACATGTCATACACGGTGAACTGCCTTCTAAAGCTTCAACAGCTCCATGTAAAATTGAGGTGCCCTTTATTGCTCACGGACACTGATTTGATTCCATCAGGTACAGACCCTGTGAAGCCCGACAAGTGCATCTGCCCGTTCCATGTGAATGCTGTGGGAGCTGCTTCACAATGATGTTCTTGTGGTCCTGAAAATCTGGATTGTATCAGCCTGACGGTACCCAGTACTCAAGCAAGGGACAGTATGACATGAAAGTTTGTCAAATTACAGCCTGCGTTATCCTTGAGGTGGAGGTTCATAAGCTCCCTACACACGTGTCAGCTCAGGTCTTATGAGTAGCAATGCACTTCGAAACCCCAAGACACCTTAATCCAAACCTGAAATTCTACGCGCTTGAAACCATGCTAAACCAAATCCATCCGGTTGTGCAGGTGCCTAAATGAATCCATATGTATATATTATATGTATAGAACCTCTACATAGATATGTATACTGGTCTTGAAAGAAATCTCCCCCTCAGCCTGAACCCAAAACCCTAATCCCCAAACCACTAGCCCCCTCAACCCTAAACCCCTAAGCCCTTTAACCCTTTAACCCTTTAACCCTTTAATCCTTTAACCCTAAACCCTAAACCCCTACAATCCTAAACCCCTAAACCCCTAAACCCCTTTTTCTGGACCCCTGGGACTCAGCGCGACGCAATGCCGTCAAAGGAGGCCAAAGCTGCACCGCGAAGGCGAGTGAGTGCGCGGAACACGGATCCTTAATTTTAGGGTTTAGGGTTTAGGGTTTAGGGTTTTGGGATTTAGGGGTTTAGGGTTTGGGTTTAGGGTTTTTCCCCTTAGGTAGATAGAATATTAGGATTATATTGGGGTTGTATAGGGATAATGGAAAAGAAAATGGACACTACTATTTAGGGTTTAGGGTTTAGGGTGTTGCGTGGGCTTTCAAAGGTCCCCCCAAATAATGCTAAATAGTTATGC